GTCAGGGGATTTACCAAATTAAGAAATCACGTTCTAGAATGATCTACAAACGGATTTCTGAATTTGATTGGCTCTCATGTGTCTTTTTCTTCTCAAACATCATACAATTTGAAAAAAAAATTTTTAATAGTTATTAAGTTTTAGTAAGCTTCGAATACATACTTCAAGATGCCTAGTTTCAATAATCAAAATTAATCAACGATGGCAAACTTTTTTTGCCAAAGTAAATAAGAGGCTAAAAAAAGGTATTTACTTCGTATTGGAAGTTAAGAATCGTCATTAGTTAACTTAAGATATTTTTTTTTTGTATTATTTTGTATTTGTATTAAACGAAGATTTAAATACTACAACTTTTATATTTTAATTTAAATTTTGTATAGGTATCAATATGGCTTGAGAAAGAGAACTCATATAGTATAATTTTAAAAACAAATAGTTGAAATAGATAGAGATAACAAGATAGTTAGGTATATATGTAGCATAATAATTAGGACAAATGTAGCATGTTAGCAAACAAACTTAGCATAATAATTGGAATACTGCAACAGTTAGATAGATTTGGAATGAATGTAAGAATAATATATAGATTTAAAATTAGAGTTGGTAGATTCGGGACAAGAGTTAGATGTAGCACTAAGTGTTTGTATATTTATGATATAGCACGATTAATAAATAAAAAACAAATTTTATTTTAAAAAAAATGAAGTAAATAAAATTGTATATAGTTATATTCTCAATATAACAATATAGTATTACAGTATTATAATAAAATTAATTTTAAAAACAAAGTAAAAAAAAATTTTTTACTTGACAGCAAATCTTAATTGATGCTTTGGAAATTTCCAGAATCAATCGAGTGATGATCTATGCCTATATAAGGTGTGATCTGCACTATCCATTTATGGTATATTTCCTAACTGATGTTAGAAAAAAGGTTTAGTTTAAGGTTTTTAATTAAATATGTTTAAAGAATAAATTAGTAAAAATTTTCTGTAATATATATTCAGCCTAAGAATTTATTTTGCAAAAGAAATTTTAAACTATACCTTTTTTTCAACATATTAATCTAATCGCTTGTGTATAAATTGCGGAATAAAAAAATAGATGGTATGCAAGATGAATCAATTTTTGGATAATAATAGTCTTCACTAGTGAATTTAACTATTTTGCTGGTCTATGCAAAAATCTGTATTACTGGATTTACTATAATACCTTATTACATAGTTTTGATTAATTAATATACCGGAAGCAACCAACACCACACTTATATATTTCATTTGTAGTATTTAAGCATGAAGTTATTCAATTCGCATTTAATTCCAAATCTAAAGCAGAAATAAAAATATTAGTCATTTATAATAGAAAAAAACTAAATATTATAACACTATACTTAAATCAATATCCAATATATAAACAAGCTTAATGATAATAGTCTTGCATGGAATAGTTCACTATTAAGAAAATCAAATAAATTTAAATTTAGTCTCGAATATAATTAAAACAATCTAATCATTCTTTGCTATTATTCATAATAACTTAAATTAGAAATAACTAACCAATTCTGGATCTTTTAGTTTTGGTATGAGATTTTTTGAACTAAAATATAACTAAAAGTAGGATTCTGTAAATGTCACCATGATAATGTTGAAAACCAGTGCCGAGCACAGGGACAGGACTATATTACCATATCTAAACTTGTATAAAAAAAAAAATAGTAAGCCAAAGCCATGGATAATAAGAACAAAAAAAAAAACTATACTATGTACTTGGGCAAAATAAAGCAATGCAAAAAAAAAAGCAATTTATACTTAAAAAGAATGGTAAGTAAGAGTTTCATAATTGTGTTTAAAAAAAAACATGACTCATTAGTGTAAATATAATTAATAAAAAATAATAAAAATAAAATAAAAATGTTTGCTATAGCACAATTAAAATCTCTACTTGTTATCTTGGATTATTTCCAACTTGTAGAGACCTTTTTATTTGTTAAGTGCTAAATTACTTACAAGCACTGCTAAAAATTAAATAAAAAATATCAAAATGCAAATATTTCTCTCTAATCCAAAATATAATAAAAAGTATATTTATAAAAACCCTCAACTCGTTTTTTATAAATTTACTAATACATTCGCTTATTATAAAATGACTTCGTCGGGTTCTCCATCTCTTGATAAAAAAGCTTTATATGACGAATGCAATTATGAATGGGATTTAGTTAAAAAACTTTCTTAGAAAGAAATTGAAAACAAAATATTTAATTATTTAAATACCCCAGTACAATTGCAAGGATGTGTAATGCGCATTCCAAGTAATCAATCTCTGCTATCACAATCATTGGCAATATCATTGTCGTTACCACTCGAACCACCAAAATCTGATGAACCAATCTTTTACAATGCCATAGCACAAAAAGAAGCTTCTGCTAAAAAAAAAGAATTAGAAAAAGAATTGGCTGAATTACAAGCTATATCAAGAATTATTACAAATCCTGAATATTATAAAAGTTTTTCTTCCCAGGTTTCTAATATAAAAAAAAATATCAAAAGTCAAGATGTTCGGTTAAAAAAACTAAAAAGAATGTGGCAAGTCGAAAAAAATCACAAGAAAAAAAAAAAAATTACTTGAAGAAGAGCAATTGGTTATAAAGTATAATACTCCGGGCCATCCACCTTTACCTTTCCAATACCCTGATCTACATACACTCCTGCATTGAATTTGGAGAGGCTGATGCTCAAAGGCGGCGTGAAATCATCAAAGTCAGAATGATTAATCATCTTCGCACCACATTAGAAGAAAAATATAATGAATATTTGTCGTGTACAACTACACGAAACTATATTCTGCCCCAAAATAATCACAATCTTTCAGCACAAGCTCACCATCATCCAGCTTTAGTTGGAATTGCAGGAGTTAGCAGAAATAAAAGGGATCATGTTTATGGATATTATTGTTTGGCATTAGTAAAAAATGCTAGAAACTTCACCTCTATCTTTGCTGACCAATCCGTTATACTGTCGCAAGACGACAAAGCAAAGATGTCTGTTGGCATTCCTGCTATAGAAAGATATTTCGAGACAATGCAAACAGTTCACGAACCTGTGACAGTACCTGATCATAATTTTCCAATCAGATCTTCACAAAAATTAATACTATCTGTCTATTTGATAATCAATTCAAAGAAAACTAATGAATCATTAAGGGTTGGTCAAATTTCAATTTTTATTAAAGTATAGTGGCACCTCGGTTCTTCTTTTGCCACTCACATAACAGACATCTTATCGTTAGTTGCTAATGAAAGGTTTGATGAAGTTTTCAGGTTAAAAAGTGAATTTTTTTAAATTACATAATTAAAAAACATCTAGATTTAACAATTTATATTATTATTATTTTTTTACTATTCCTATTTCAAGTATAAAGATGAAGTCAAACCATTGTAGGTCCTTTTGGTCGACGGTGGGCTGGATTAGAGTTAATACCTGCATCCGGATTTAATGATTAAATCCGGATTTGATGGCTAAATCCGGATTAATGATTAAATCTGGATTTAATCATCAAATCCGGATTTAATATTAAATCCGGATTTATATTATAATAAATAATTTCGTCTTTTTAACCTT